ACAGCTGCAAAACCAGGGAGGGGCCCTTTAAAAAACACACACACACACACACACAGGATGATTTGTGATCTGAGTTAAGTTCAAGGAGTTTATTTTAAGGGAAAACAAAGATCTTTTGCTCCATTTTTAACTAGAGAAGTAACAGGAGAAATGGTAGAAAACAAGAGAAGGAAAGTGTTGATACACTGTGAGTTAAATGATTTCAATGTTAATAGGCATGTTCTTTAATTATCATTCATCTAGGTAGTAGAAAACAGACTGTAGCCAGATAATAGCTGAGGCTGGCTTTCAGGGAATGAACCCAGGGGCCAGTCCAGATCTCTTAACAAGATGACTTAGAGCAGAAGCTGAGTCTACAGGATGACTGGTAGCAAGAAGTTCAACAACTCATAGATGTCAAACAAGTTGAGGGGCAGAGTGGGGACCCATAGTCCAGGAAGGAAAGCCACAGACTCTCAGGGGTCTGAAGCCACTGCAGCCGCAAGCTAGTGAGGAGCAGCTTCTGGACCCACAGCTCAGCGACCTAGTGTAAGGCGTCTGGCAAGGACTGCAGAGCACGGAGGTCCTGGGGCGGGAGCAGGACGTCAGGCAGGGTCTGGACATCACGCAGGAGCTCCGGCAGCTGGAGGGCTCACAGCAGGTCTCCTGGCAGCCGCTGGAGAGAGAGGTGCCCAGCTGGTAGGTGCGGGGAGAGCAGAGGTCAGTGGTGTAGACCAGGTTGCTGGGGTAGGAAGAGCCACAGGAGGAGACTGGGTAGCTCACGTAGCCTCCCAGGGAGCGGGAGGAGAAGTTTCCAGAGCAGCTGCTGTGGGACATATTGACAGGAGATGTGAGTTCAGCTGAGTTACAGTGGGGAGATGCTCTGTTATCCTTCCCTTCCCCCAGCCGTGTTTATGTCTAATACCCTCACTATGCTGGGGTGGCACAGACCCTCCCCAGTCCTGTGCATGTCTGGTCATGCAAGTCACTAATTAACCTAGACTGTAATTATATCTGAACACATTCAAGCATTCTGAACTGCTGTTTATAATGGTTCATGTAAATGATTCTGCAGCTCTTTTTTTCTCAATACAAATGGTTTCCCTCCAAAGATTTGGCCAGGATGGGCCTCCCTGGTGGCCCCAGGGGTTAAATCTGAGCACTGTGAAGCTGTTGGCAGCCACTGCAACACGGGTTCGATCCCCAGCCAGGAAGCAAACCCTGTCTCACTTGCTGCGCCCCATCAGCAGTGCACTCAGTAGACCTATCTGCCTCTCCTGCTCTTCCCACTCTGCCTCTGGTGAATCCTCTCAGCCTTGCACCTCTGGCTGACACAGCTTTCATATGCATGAATAAATCTTTAAAAAAGTGATTTATGTACCTTGCAAGATAATGAATTACCTTCTCCTAGCTTGACTGTGGGGATTTTGAGTAAGGCTGTAAATTCTCACCCAGCAATGTGCTCAAACAGTATTGGCATCTCCCTCCAAAACATTTGCAGTTGTTTTGTTGAGTATTTATTATTGTAAAATGTTTAAAATTGTGGTGTCACTTCATTCTTGCTCAACAACTGTATGAGGTAGAAATTAGAACCAATTTAGCCACCCAGGTACATTTCTCTTCAAAATCGGCAGGAACCACAGTACTCAGTCCAGGAGATTGTCCTTCCTGCTCCCAGAATCACATGATCCCTGGCTAACCCAGTGGGGAGGAAAATGACTATTCAAGGCAATAACATTTGCCTTGACGATGTCTGTATTTTATGAATTTTATGAATTTATTTTACCTATTTTATGAATTATCCAAATACAACCACTGAGGCACTAAGGTCCTTACAGCATAAGGGTCAACACTTCATTGACCTGAGCACCTGTCAGGTATAATGAACTTGACTTTGGCTATCGGGGATAAGAAAGATTTTGAGAGGCTCTTTTTTTTTTTTTTTAAGATTTATTTATTTGTGCACACAGAACTGGGGTACAGGCCAGAGGCTCAGGGGCAGTGAAAGGCTTCACCAGAGACAGAGTGGGGAACAGAACAGGCAGATTGACGAAGTACACTGCTGAGCGGAGCAGCAGGGAGACAGGAGAGGTCTGTCACACCATGTGGTCACGTCCGGGGCAGGCGGGAATCGAACTCATGCGGAAGCGGCTCCAGATTCTCAGTGCTGTGCTTTAACCCTCTGCGCCACCAGGGAGGGCCTTGAGAGGCTCTTTTATTGCCTTGTTCTGTTTTTTGAGTTTTCAAAGTTACCATGAAGATTGTTGTCTCAAACTATCTTCTTTTTCTCCTCTCATTTAACTTGTCATCGTTAAGCAACTCAGGTTCCATCTAGCATGGAGTGATTGAATTATTTTTCCAAATAAAGCAGAGAATTCTTTGGCAAACACTCAGACTATCCGTGAGAATAATTGCTGAAAACTCATATACTTCAACTGAGTTGACTACCAATGAAATACATTTGCAAAAACTTGAATTTTAATAGTGTGCTAACCTTTGCCAACTCAGTTGGGAGTAAGGAATGAGACACCTTAGAGAGTGATTCATTTCACTTCCTGCTGCGCGTCTCTTTTGCTCATCATTCTAGAAAGACAAAGCGGCATAAAACCTAACTTCATATTAGGTAGTTAAAATTACCCCATCGCTACAAAAAATCAATAGTATATAGTAAAATCCCAGAATTAGAGATGTCTTTCTTTTTCAGTTGCTATAATATCCAATTCTGCCTTAAAGCATCTTTAGAAATTGGAAAGCAAAATCCTATTTATGTAATTTGATCTTCTCCACTTGTTTCACAGATGATTGTTTTTTCTAATCTCCTACAACATTTGCTTTTTCTGGCACCGATGGAAGAGTCCGCCTATAAATTTCCACCAAACTTATTTGCTCACTTCTCAAAATCTTTCTCATCCCTGTAAGCCAAAGTCGTGTTTGTTATACCAGTCAGGTGCTCATCTCAATGAAGTTTTGACCTTTATGCTGTAAGGATCTGAGGGTCTTCAAAGCTAATCTGCATGGTGAACGCTCACACACATCACACAACTTGGAGGACCTGCAAGCAGTGTATCCTGAGATGTCTCATGCAGAATAAATAAGATTTTAGTCATTTGAATTTACAAGAATACATTTGTAGGAAGAGTTAAGTACACAGTTTTTCAATAGCGCTAAAAGCCTTACTCTTCCTTGGCTTGGTACCCAGCACATTGAGGGTGCTAAAAATTATGTATAGGGCCTCTCAGGTTGCAATGGTTAAAGTCTCAGCATTGAGTTTGACCCAGGCCAGGGAGCTGACCCACATGGTGCAGCAGACTTCTCCTGTCTCGCCCACTGCTCCCCTCAGCAGAGTATTTCTGTGGATCCACCTCTTCTGTGCCCCACTATATCTCTGATAAATCCTCTCACCTCCCCTAACCCCCACACCTTTGGCCTATACCCCAGATGCTGTATGCATAAATAAATAAAATGAATATTTAAAAAAGATGGAATTAAATATATATATAATTACATGTCAACTATTTCAATTTCCTTTTTTCAATAACCATTCTATTTTCTATCTGGTTTAACTCTTCTTTATTGTTGCTCAATGCAATGAACATTTTTATTTTTGTGTGTATTTATTGTTAAAATGTCATCTTGATTGCAACTGAGATGGAAAAAGGCACAAAATGATGCAAAAATGAACTGTTATAATAAAAAAAAATACTTTAGTTTCTCCATCTGTAAATTAGGAATCAGCATACAACTACTCTATAATAGCTAAGAGCAGAGGTCTCCACACCACAACCCACAGGCTGGCCCACCCCAAGAATGGCTCATGAGGGGAGCAGCGGCCGGGTCAGGAGAGGTCAGCTGTGCCTTGTGGATCACCTCGGGGCACTACACCCTTGGCCCTGAGGCACGTTTGCTCTGTATGTCTAGGACACCATTTGCCTCATTTTCTAACTTTACCTAATTCTCTGCTGTCCTTTGTTAGGTTCCACAATTATGTTTCTTGTGTTAAGTCTCAACATAGTCTCTCTACGGAAGAGACACCTCCTCTTCCTGGATTAAACTACCATCCAAATTCTACTACTACTCTCTTTTTAATTCTAGGTCAAGATAATTAACTACTTACTTGTTGTTTCCATTTGGAGGTTTCATAGTGAATCAAACATTTTGTGTATGAAATTGAACTTTTGGGCCTCCCTGGTGGCTCAGCGGGTTAGGGCGCAGCACTGCAAGGAAGCCACAGCCGTTCAGTGAGAGTTTGATTCCCCAGCACAGAGGTGACCCACATAGCGTGGCAGACCTCACCTGACCCACCCGCTGCAACCATCAGCAGTGTACTTCATCTATCTGCCTATTCTGCTCCCCACTCTGTCTCTGGTGAATCCTCCCACCGCCCCTGCACCTCTGGCTTGTATCCCAGTCCTATATATATAA